AGAGTCTATAGAGTCTAGAGTTTAAGGAATTAAATCGGCAGCCTCAGAGCGGTCTTAAAAGCCGTGATTTCTGGTATTTGCCGCACAAAAACCTCAAGGAGCCTGAACCCTGTGCACGAACTCTATACCTGAAAGTCTGGATCAGCCCCATGGGCCCTAAACCCGAAACCCCGGAACCCTAAGCCCGGAACCCTGGAATCCTAAACCCTACACCCCAGGGGTGACATGTGGTGGCCCCTGGTGGGTGAGCCTCTTGAAGCAGATCGACTGGCGCCCCCGGAAAGACTCGGATGATGTCCAGATGCAGCAGCTTGCATGCTCTGGTCTTGGGGGGAGCGGGGTGGGGAACGCAGGATTGAAGTTTAGGATTTAGGTTTTTAGGGTTTGGGGTCTAAGGGGCTTTAGGGTTTAGGGTTTAAGGTTTAGGGAAGTTTAGGGCCAAGAGCTAAATCAGTCCTAATCCTGACACCCTAGAACAAAGCCACAGTCAAGGCCAAAGTACACTCTGTACTGGTACATGGACCCTAAACCCTAAACCCCGGAGGGATGTGCAGCCACCTCCATCGTTCGAGGAAGTAAACAGCGGCACGTGCCAGCATATGCTTAGTTGCCACTGTCTTGCACGTAAGTGCGGTGCATAACGCTTTGCATAAAGCGTAGGCGTAAACGTGCAACTGGATATGTACAGCATATGTATAACATGACACCGTATGACCTGATACCCATCGCCATCGTCTTTTACAAGCTTGATCGGTTGAAAGAAAGAAGAAAACGAAAGAGAGATAGACACTCTAGATTAACGCCTGAACTGATTGACATCGGCATGCATGCCTGCATGCATGCTTGCATGCAGGTAGGTGTGTCGGTTTGTCGGCCGGCAGGGAGGTACGTAGTTAGGTATGTATGTAGGTAAGCAGCTCGGCATAAGCCATTGGGGTAGCCAGGTAGATAGCTACATACCTTCATAGGCAAACATGTCTTGGACATACACTCACGGATGCACTGCCTGCTGGCTCTTACAAATATCCCAAAAATTCACATTCCCTGTGGGAGCAAAGGACGCAGCATTGCAGAATGATATTCCGCAGCACTGTCCTGCAGCTCTGTGCTCATGTGCTGTCTCTCTCTCTCTCTATATACATATATATATATATGTGTGTACGCACCTATCTATATACTGTATATATATATATATATAGATATACATACATACATAATTAGACATATATACATATATACATATCTGTATCTTTATATATATATATATATATCAAGCGCTTGCTTTCTCTGCTTCAGGCTGCTGCAACTAACTTTTTTCAGTTGGTAATAACTCCAAAATGAGATGGAAGCAGCAGAAGACTCGCTTGCAACCATCGACCACTGTAACCCCTAAATCCCAAACC